GCCTCCCTCAAAGCTATTTCTTCTGAATCAATCCATCACCTTTTCTAAAGTAAAAAAGAAAGAGACCTTTGTTCCCAGGCCTTGGGTTAAACTGTACACCTTATTGTTTATACCAGCACCTAACAGAGTAACACATGCAATTGTTATAAGCAGGAAATCACTCGTTTTGCACAGTAGTGTTGGATCATTTGGAAGCAGAGTCCTTATCCTCCCAGGAAGTCTATTCACTCTCTTTATTTATACCATACTTTGTTCCAAAATGGGTTTTGAGGTGATTTACGTAACAAAGACCTAGGGAATTTAGGGACTAGAGCCTGACTTGGTAAAAGTGGAAAAGGCATGCAATTATCTGAGTAAAGAACCCTGAATGAGGTCCCAGTTGACACATATCCAATACCCATCCCCCTAGAATGGGATGGATTAGATGTGAAGGCAGTGAAAGAAAGCTCTGGTGGGAAGGCTTGGGGTAGTGAGAAATCCTACAGGACCCTCATGGTCCACTAGCCTTGGAAAACCAGTGAAGAACCAGTCTGAGTGTCCAATGGTGTGGAATGGCCTTGTCTCCTTTACAGAAAAAAATACAGTCATGGAAAACCATCATCAAGAAGACTGGAGCAACACAAAAGCATGTTCCTGTTGGAGCATTCAAAGAAATTAACAATATGCAAAATTACATATCCCTTAACATCACAGTTGGATAAAGATGTGGTTTCAAAGCCCGGAACTGGATGGGAATATAAAACATCAACACAATTTCTTTTTTTGTGGGTAGTGAAGTTTTTTTTTCAGTTTATGCCCTGGCTCATTGAAAGTTAGTTTGAGCAAGCCTACATGATCAGATAAAATGAAAGAAGTAAGCGGAGTACTGACAAAATCTGGTAACATTTCAGATAAAATCAGAAATGAAGTTATAATGGAAAATACGTAGTGAAGTTTTTTCTTTTTTTTTTTTTAATTTTTTTTTTCAACGTTTATTTATTTTTGGGACAGAGAGAGACAGAGCATGAACGGGGGAGGGGCAGAGAGAGAGGGAGACCCAGAATCGGAAACAGGCTCCAGGCTCCGAGCCATCAGCCCAGAGCCTGACGTGGGGCTCGAACTCCCGGACCGCGAGATCGTGACCTGGCTGAAGTCGGACGCTCAACTGACTGCGCCACCCAGGCGCCCCTGAAGTTTTTTTCTTTATAGCTGTCACAGCACTAGAGCAGAAGTCCAGGATCTGGCATCATAAGAGCTGACTTTGACCTCCAGTCCTGCAATTTACTTTTTCTGGGTCCTTGAGCAAGTCGCTGCACCTCCGATATGACTTGTTTTTATCTATTAAGTGGGAAAAATGAACATTCTTTCCTGAAGATAGAATGGGAACTTGCATGTGAAAGTACTTTGTAAATCATAAAGCTATTCTCTGCAAGCTTCCTGTTTCCCGTTCCTTTCATATTCTGCACACTGCCCCCACCTGCTTTCAAGATTCCTGGGACTCTGTTCAAACATCACATCCTCACAAAAGCCCTCTATGACTGCCCAGGTTTGGTCAAAGGCCCCTTTTCTGTGATCTTCCTTCACAGAGTGAAGGGAAGGCATGGCAGCGAATTTTTGGAGTCTCTCAAACTTGGGTTCACAATCCTACTCTGCCACTTTCTACTGGCGTGACCTTGGCCTAAAATCCTCTGAGCCCACTCTAATCTATTAATCTTATCTTACCTCTATTTTGTGAGGATTAGAGAGAGAACATAGAAAGCACAAAGGACATAATACAGCTCAGTAAATTTTGGTTATTATTACTGAAATAATTTCCTTGGATTAAGTTTCCCATGTTAAATGCTCAAAATTGCTGAGTTTGCTAAAACATATTAAGTCTATATTTACATTTGAAACCTTTGGAAGATGGCTAGTGAAAAACACATGGAACAACTTAAAAACGAATTCCTTATCCACATTGAGATAATTGCAGAATATTAATTTTATCACAGTTAAATGTTTATCAAGCTAACAAATGAAAATCAAGGTTAGTTTTATCAATTTCCTTATCAGTTTCCTTTTTTTTTTCCCTGAAGAGGAGTGCCTAGATTCTTCCTATTATTTGCTTCTCCCTCCAGATAACTGTCTCATCTGTGGTTACCTTTAAAAAAATTTTTTTAAATTTATTATTTTTGAGAGAGAGAGAGAGAGAGAAAGCATGTAAGTAGGGAAGGGGCAGAGGGAGAGAAGGGGATAGAGGACCTGAAGCGGGGTCTGTGCTGACAACAGAGAGCCTGGTGCGAGGCTTGAATCTCACGGACCGTGAGATCATGACCTGGGCTGAAGCCGGACTCTTAACCGACTGAGCCATCCAGGTGCCCCTGTGGTTACCTTTTAAGAGTCTTCAGCTTATTGGGCTTTCTCCTCTCATGTCAGAGATGCATCCCATTTATGTACACGTTATGTATTCCATGTGCGGAGTACTTCTAGTCATATTTACAAATAGCATACTTATTTAATTCTAAAAATCACATCAATTGAATGCTCATTTTACAGGTAAGGACATTGAGACTCAGCGCTTTGAGATGCTAGCACTTGGCTGAGTGATTACTCAAACCCTGTTCTTGACCCCATAGCTTATGATCTTTTCCCAAAACAATGTTTTCAGTTGCTTGTGGCCCAAGGTGTTTATAAAATGTACTGGAAAGCTTGCTTCTTAGCTGCAGCAGCTTGGACGTGAATTATCACGAGGAAGTAAGTTACTCAAGAGATTTAAGCAAATTTGCGTGTATCTCCTTCTGGCTACTCTCTTCTGCTTTTGCCCACCTTTGAAAGGCTGCTGTTCCCAGAGTTTTTCTGAAGTCCCCCTTCTGACTTACCTCCAGGGATTCAATTTGATCTCTTTGTGCCTGCTTCCCGGGGCTGCCCTGGTCAGTGCCCCACACCTCCAGTCAGCCTGCCCTACCCACTTCTCCCAGGAGCTAAGAAACACACCTGATCACATCACTCCCCGACTTCAAGCCTAATGTGGTGCCTCGTTGCCTTTAGATAAAGCCCAACTCCTTTGCCTGGAGTACAAGAGTCCTCACGGTCTGGCCTCTCCCTACCTCGGTCTTCAGCCTTATTTCCAGCTATTACCCCCATGCCTGTGACTTCAGCAGAGACTCTCTGCTCTCTGAAAGCACATATTCACTCACCTCATGTCTTTGTTGATGCTGTTCTCTCTACCCGATGAGCCCTGCTTCCATCTGCCTTCATAAGTTCTCTTCATTATTTAAGACTCAGTTCAGGGGCACCTGGGTGGCTCAGTCAGCCGAACATCTGACTCTTGATTTTGACTCTGGTCATGATCACTCTCACAGTTCATGAGATGGAGCCCTGCATCAGGCTCTGCACTGACAGTGTGGAGCCTGCTTGAGATTCTCTCTCTCCCTCTCTCCCTGCCCCTCCCCAACTTGTGCTTGCACTCACTCTCTCTCTCTTCCTTAAAATAAATGAATAAACACTTTAAAAAAAGAAGAAGAAGAAGACTCAGTTCAAGCAGATGCTCCACCTGAAAGCCTTCCCTGACCTCTCCAGGTTGGGCCGTGCCCTCTGCTATGATAGCACTTCTCATATGGCATTCAAAACGTTTGCTTGCCTGTCTGCCTCTCCCACAGATCTGTTTGAAGGAGACTCTGTGTCTCACCTCCATACCCCAGAAACCATGCATAGGACTGGCACATTGGTAGTCGAATGTTTGCTGAAATTAGTCACAGTCGAACTGCGAGTTAACTGGGTGTTTTTTCTATGTGCTCACGTATCTTGTCTTTTTTAACAGATTTTTAAGTTCATTTGAGGTTAAGAATAATGTTTTTAGATCTATCCCTTTCCTCCTTTTGAGAATTTACCTTAATTGTTCCTATTTTTGCCTAAAAAGGAACCAGGTGAGAAGCTAGTATTAACTTTTTAATTCCACTCTAAGGGAGTTATTGTATTCTTTCCTTTGGTGCTTGTCTTAATACAACTGTTATTGCTTAATTTGAGTTATGTTCATTGTCATTAACGTCATTTCAATTTCCTTAGGTCAAATAGTCTTTCAAACTTTCAACCATGTAGGTGCATTTACATTATGATACCAATTTATTATGGTAACTCAAATCAAGTAGTTGAGATGACTTATTAACTTGATGAACACAGCGGTTAACATGGAGCAGCTTGTACCTGTCTCACGGGCTGTCTAAGAAACAAACTGTTCCAGTCTTTTTTAGACTTTTTAAAAAAGTATTCTCCCCATGGGGCGCCTGCGTGGCTTAGTCGGTTAAGCGTCTGACTTCGGCTCAGGTCATGATTTCACGGTCCATGAGTTTGAGCCCCGCGTCGGGCTCTGTGCTGACAGCTCAGAGCCTGGAGCCTGTTTCAGATTCTGTGTCTCCCTCTCTCTCTGACTGTCCCCTGTTCATGCTCTGTCTCTCCCTGTCTCAAAAATAAACGTTAAAAAAAAAATTTAAAGTATTCTCCCCATCATACAACCCCAAGATCAAGCGTGGCATGGTCCACCAACTGACCAGCCAGGTGCCCCAAACTGTTCTGGTCTTTCTTTTTAAAAATGTTTATTTTTGAGAGAGAGAGAGACAGACAGACAGAGTGTGAGCAGGGGAGGGGCAGAGAGAGAATGAGACACAGAATCCAAAGCAGTTTCCAGGTTCTGAGCTGTCAACACAGAGCCCGACATGGGGCTCGAACTCACAGATCATGAGATCATGACCTGAGCCAAAGTCAGATGCTCAATCGACTGAGCCACCCAAGCACCCCTCTGGTCTTGATCCCCAACCAACTGCTTCATTCTAGTTGGTCACTGACTTACTTGCCTTTTCTCTATGAGCAGTAAGCAAAGTTTCAAGTATTCCATTCTCCTTTCCATCACTAACTACTAGAAGGTTGACCAAAAACAAAGTTCCCGTTAAAGACTTATTTTTGTTTCACTGTCCACAATATCTAGACCCCATTCACATTTGCTTCAATTTTTGTAGGTTTTCTAGGTTTTTTTTTTAATTGTGTGACATTTACTTCATGTAAAAAAAAAAAAAACAAAACCCAACCATACTATAGTGAACACTTGTTTATCCACCAGCGAGCTTAATAAATAAGCTATTTTCAAAATAGTTGAAGCCCCCTATAATCCTTCTCGACCACCTTCTTGTCTCTTTCCTGCCTCAGAGCTAAGTATTATCCCAAATTTGGGGCTCATTGTTCTCTCTTTCTAAATATTAGTTTTATGCCATATGTATATATCCCTAAAAATCATTGTTTATTTTCTGTTTTTGAACTTTATAAAAATGAGAAGATTAGAAATACTCTCCTGCAGTTTGCATATCTTTATTCTACATTGTCTATCGTCTTCTGTTTGCAAGACTCATTTACATATACATGTATAGCTCTCGCTCATTCATTTCACCACCAGAGAGAATCCGATTGTGTAAACATACTTTACTCTGGCCGATGATGAACGTTTGGATTGTTTCCAGGGTTTCTTGTGCTGGTATAATTGTCTGCGTGTCTTCTCAGTCACCCGGGTCCAGGTTTTTGAGAGTACATCTCTAGGAATAGAATAGCTGGTAAGAGGGTATTTGCGTCTTCGGTTTTAATGCAAAATCTCATTTCTCTTCAGCAGTAGACAATATTTTCTGTTGTTCCACATCCTTCACTACCTTTGTATTATCGGCTTTTAAAATATTGCTAATATGGTGAGTGTTGTGGGCTAAGCTGTGTCTCCCCAAAATTCGTATGTGAAGTCCAAAATCTCACTGCTTCAGAATGTGACTGATCTGGAGGTAGGGTCTTTAAAGAGGTATTTGTGGTTGGGGTGCCTGGGTGGCTCAGTCGGTTGAGTGCCCGACTTCGGCTCAGGTCGTGATCTCACAGCTCGTGGTTTCGGGCCCCATATCGGGCTCTGCGCTGACAGCTCAGAGCCTGGAGCCTGCTTTGGATTCTGTGTCTCCCTCTCTCTGCCCCTCCCCCACTCTCATTCTGTCTCTGTCTCTCTCAAAAATAAATAAACATTAAAAAAAAAATAAAAAGAGGGGCGCCTGGGTGGCGCAGTCGGTTGAGCGTCCGACTTCAGCCAGGTCACGATCTCGCGGTCCGTGAGTTCGAGCCCCGCGTCAGGCTCTGGGCTGATGGCTCGGAGCCTGGAGCCTGTTTCCGATTCTGTGTCTCCCTCTCTCTCTGCCCCTCCCCCGTTCATGCTTTGTCTCTCTCTGTCCCAAAAATAAATAAAACGTTGAAAAAAAAATTAAAAAAAAAATAAAAAAAGAAAAAGAAAAAGAGGTATTTGTGGTTAAATTAGGTCATTAAGATGCTCCCTAATCTGATAGGACTGGTGTCTTTCTAAGTAGAGATTAGGACACAAGCATGCACAGAGGAGGACCATGTGAAGACACAGGGAGAAGACGGTCATCTGCGAGCCCACGAGAAAGACCCTCGGAAAAAATTGATGCTGCCACCACCTGGGGTTGGATTTCTAGCCTCCAGAACTGTGCAGAGATAAAGCTCTGTCATCATATTGTCCACATGAAACTAATATTGCACTGTATGTTAACTGGAATTCAGTAGTTTAAAAAAAGAGAAAAAAGGGCACCTGGGTGGCTCAGTTGGTTAAGCATCTGACTTCGGCTCAGATCATGATTTCAGGGTTTGTGGGTTCAAGCCCTGCCCCCCTCCCCCATCAGGCTCTGTGCTGACAGCTCAGAGCCTGGAGCTGCTTCAGATTCCGTGTTTCCCTCTCTCTCCCACTCCCTTGCTCATACTCTGTATCTCTCTCTCTCTCTCTCAAAAATCAGTAAACATTAAAAAAAAAAAAGAGAGAGAAAGAAATCTCTGTTGTTTAAGGCACCTAGCCTATGGTACTTCGTTATGGCAGCCCTAACAAACTAATACAACAAGTTAAAAATCAAAGTTTTAATTTGTATATCTCTTGTTTACAATTGAGATTGAGCAAATTTCCATATGTTATTTAGCCATTCAGTTTTCTTCCCTAAACTTATTTTAAAAGTCTTTCATTTTTTATATTTTTATTTTGTTGTTTCCTTCTTTTATACATATATATATACATGTTGGACACTTTACGATCTCTTTGGGAAATAGTAGTTTAAAAATCTTAATGGTTATTTATTTTTTGAAAGAGAGAGAGAGAGAGAGAGAGAGAGAGAGAGAACAGGTAGGGACAGAGAGAGGGAGAAAGAAACCCCAAGCAAACTCCACGCTGTCAGTGCAGAGCCGGACATGGGGCTCGAACTTGTGAACTGTGAGACCATGACCTGAGCCAAAATTAGGAGTCAGAGGCTTAACGGACTGAGACATCCAGGTGCCCCGGGAGTTTTAAAAATTGAATGTAATCGGATATATCAACTTTTTCCTTTGTGATTTTGCTCAAGAAATAATTCCCTGCCCCTAGATCATAAAGATATTTTTCTTAATTTTCTTCTGATGTTTTAAAAGTTTTGCTTATTCATATTTAGGCTTTTCATCCACCAATGGGCAGAATCTTTAGTTAGCATTCCCTAAAGGTAAGGAGGGCTTCCTTAAGAGATAGTATGCTCCTTATCGTTGAGTGTGTTCAAATAGCCGGGACAATCCTGAGGTAGAGATCTTACAAGTTGGATTCCACGATCATGTAGATGTATAAACCATATTGTCTGTCTGGTCATGGATCTGAGTACAGCAGCCACTACTCCTTGAAAACATTAACATTTTACATATTATCTCAAATTACTGGGTTATCTTATCTGGGCTACACTTCACCTTCTGGCTCTTATTTGAAAGCCACAAGTCTTTTAAGGCTGCCAATGACTCAGCAAATGCAATAAATGGACAGACTTTGGTAACTGTAAAGAATCAGATGTAAACAGCCTCTGGTCCTCCTGCCTTGCAACATGACTCTCCTCTAATTTCCTGATGGATACAGGAGACTAAATGATGCTCATTTTGATTTTTCCTATTAGTCACGGCCTGTCTGGGTCCACCTCCATCACTATCTGGCTCTGTGAGCCTGGGAAGGTTTCTTAATTTATGTAAGCCTCAGTTTTGTCATCTATAGAGTGAGGTTAACAATTGTAACTATATCCTGGGGTTATGCTGATTAATAATCCATGTAAAGCCATTATGAGACATTGTCTGGCATCTACTCAGTAATTCTTACCTATTTTATGGTAGTAGTCATAGTAGTAAAAGTAGCAACTGAATTTTGTTGCTATACTCATTTTTATTATATCAGGTGAAAATTTTCAGACCCAGACAAGAACTTGAAAGGAACAAAATGAGGAAGAAAGACATCTCCTTTTGGTGGGCACCTATTCTGGCCCAAGCCCTTGCAAAAAGTCCCTTATCTGACCCTTCATCAATCTTGCAGGCTTACAATTACCTAGCTTTTAGAGGTAAATTCTCACTGAGAGAGTTTCAGTAATGCCTCCTAACATTACTTGGTCTGTAACCACAGAGGTAGGATCTAAACACTATTATCTGATACGTGAGCCTAAAGTCTGTGATGTTACCATTGCCTTCAGAAGTTACTTGAGGCTCCAACAAATTGGTGGACCTGTCCCCAAAGCCCAGTCTGCGGCCCTTACTAGTTCTGATAAGTCAGTGTGGAGCTTTCTCAGAGTTTCTTCATGACTTTGCATCATGTTTTGTCAGGCCTACAGGGGAGTCCAGAGCTGGGGCACGAACACCAACCCGCATCTGAGGATGCTTAGGACTCCGGGCCTGTCTCTACTATTTACCAGCTGGCCCTTGGGTAAAGATCTTAAGGCAGATTTTGTTTTCTCCACATGACACAGGACAGTCAATGATACCAGGTAATCTTCAAATTCCTTTCTTGGGCTTCCTTCTCAGAATCCATGAACACTACAGAGCAGCCACATAGGGTCCCACAAGGAAGCCCCTCCTGGCCCCCAGCCAAATCCAGACAGTGACTTCCCAGGTCCCCGGCTACTCTGTTAGCTTTCCTTCAGCCTCACTAAACTAGAAATGGACCTCTCAGCCTAAATCATGTCCATACGTTGACTATTTACTAGAGCTACAGTAATACTTTTCACCAGAAGATCTGAATAGATGATCTCTCTAAGCAGTTACAGGGCAGATTATGACTGCAAGACAGAATACCAGAGCAATCTAGTTAAAGGTTTTGTGATAATTGCTACATTTATTTCCTAGGGCTGTTGCCTACTATTGACTACTGTAGTTTCCTAGGGTAGCAAAGTACCACAAGTCAGGGGGCTTACAACAGAACTTTATAGTCTTATGACCTTGAAGGCTAGAAGTCTAACATGAAGGTGTCAGCAGCACCATGCTCCCTCTGAAACCTGCAACGGAGACTCCCTCCTTGCCACTTCCTAAATTCTGGTCCTTGGAGGTCCTTGTCCTGCAGCTACAGCGTACCAATATCTGCCTCGTCATCACATGGCGTTCTCTCCTGTGTCTGCGTCTCTGTGTCTCTCCTCCTCTTATAAGGACACCAATTCTATTGTATAAAGGGCCCACCCTATTCTGGTGTGACCCTATCTTAACTCCTTACATCTACAAAGATCTTATTTCCAAATATACTCACATTCTGAGATACCTGAGGTTAGATCTTCAACATATCATCTGAACCCGTAACAGTGGCTAAATTGTACTTTGTCCGATCCGTCTGTCAGCAATGGCTTCCCAACCCAATGGAATAGAGGGAAGGGGCGCCCTCCGCCCCCCCCCCCCCCCCCCCCAATTTCAGAACCTAAAGCAGGAAAAAAAGTAGAAACCTTCAAAAGAATTGAGCCACCTATTCCCAGCACAGCATGCAGAGATCACTTCTACACTTCTGGTCCTTGAATAGAGAAATGAATGTACAATTGTTTCCTCTCCTGGGAAATATGAAAGTGAGCCAGCTCAAATAGGGCTCAGTCACTTTCCTGAGGCTGCTCCAGACTGGCCGACAGCCATCAAGTTGCTCCTTAAGGATTGAAATCCCCTTGTCGTGAACAAGGAAACTTCTGAAAAACACCTTGAATTTCCAGAGAGGAAATAGGTTGTAAAAGTATTTTTTCCTCCTTCATAATGAGAAGGGCACACAGGGGGCCACCCAGGGGGCTGGGGACCCATGTCTGTACTGAGAGGGGCACCAAGGGTCTGTGGCCAGCACGAGGTGAGGGATGCCAGGGGAAGAAAGGCCTGCCTGGGAGAAGCCTGAGCCAGCAGGGACCCACCCACCTCCCCACCAACCGGTCTCCCCGTCAGGCCTGGGACACCCACATGGTGGGGAAACAGTCATGGGAAATGACAAACACAGAACACCTCTTGTTGACTTCCTCAAGTGAGAACTCCAAGCCAGACTGGATTTAAATGGGAAAGGAAATGTTAACTATCTAGTCACATAATTATCGTGAAGACATCTGTGACTGTTACAATTAGAACTCATATTATTGAACTTGTGTTGTCCCTGTAAGATATACTATACACGTAAACTCTTTGTCAGGCCAAAAATGTACATTTTATTTTAGTGCCTGCCACACACAGATTGGGGGTGCCTGAGTGGCTCAATCGGTTAAGTGTCTGACTTCGGCTCAGGTCATGATCTCACGGTTTGTGAGTTTGAGTCCTGTGTCGGGCTCTGTGCTGACAGCTCGGAGCCTGGAGCCTGCTTCAGATTCTGTGTCTCATTCTCTCTCTGTCCCTCCCCAACTTGTGCTCTGTCTCTCTCTGTCTCTCAAAAATAAATAAATGTTAAAAAAAAAAAAAAAAGGATTATACATAAACTTGCAAAGCATGTACTGGAGGTTCTAACTAGTCAAATAAGGCAGGAAAAAGAAAAGTATCCATATTAGAAAAGGAATAAAACCGTCCATTCACAGAGGATACAGTTGCCTCTATAGAAAATCTGATGCCATCTTCAAAAAACTATTAGAATAAGTGAGTTTAGCAAATTTGCAAAATACAAGATCAATATGCAAAGCTCAGTTGTATGTGTAAATATGAGCAACAAACAATTAGAAATTGAAATTTTAAAAAGTACTATTACTACCAGCACTAAAAAATATGAACTACTTAGGATAAATCTGACAAATGATGTGTAAAACCTGTAACTGAAACCACAAAATGCTGCTGAAAGAAATTAAAGAAAATCTAAATAGAGAGCTATTCCATGTTTTATAATTCAGAAGACTCAGTAGTAAAATGGCGATTCTCCTAAAGTTAAGGTATAGATAGATTCAACATAATCCTAATAAAAATCCCAGCAAGCATTTTTGACAAGTATATTCTAAAATTCACGTGGAAAAGCAAAGGACCTAGAATAATAGCCAAAACAACTTTAAAAAAGAAATCAGACAACTAATAAATACCATGTGATTTCAAGACTTACTATAAAGCTACAGTAATCAAAGTAGTGTGACATTGACATTAGAGGCGCCTGGATGGCTCAGTTGATTAAGCGTCCAACTTTGGCTCAGGTCATGATCTCAGCGTTTGTGGGTTCGAGCCCCGCGTGGGGCTCTGTGATGACAGCTCAGAGCCTGATGCGGGGCTCGAACTCACGGAGCGTGAGATCGTGACCTGGCTGAAGTCGGACGCTTAACCGACTGCGCCACCCAGGCGCCCCTGAATTTTTTTTAAAATCAACAATTAATCAGTGGAAGACAATAGAAAGTTCAGAAATAAACTACACATATGTGGGAAAGTGATCTTTGACAAAGTTGAAAAGCAGTGTAGAAACAATAGTCTTCTCAATAAATGGTGTTGGAACAATTGGATATAATATGCAAAACAAACAAAATCTTTGAGCCATACTTTGAAGTACCATATACAAATTATAACCTAACTCAAAATGGATCATAGAACTGTATATAAAATCTAAAACTATAAAACTTCTAGATGAAAACAGAAGAAAGCCTCTGTGACCCTAAGTTAGACAACAATTTTTTGGACACTACACCAAAACACAATCCATAAAAGAACAAACTGATAGACTGTACTTTATCAAAATTATGAATTTTTTCAATTTTTAAAGTTTATTTTTAAGAGAAAGAGAGAGAAAGGGGGGAGGGGTAGAGAGAGAAGGAAAGAGAAAGAAATCTGCACTGTTAGCTCAGAGCTGGATGTGAGGCTTGAACTCATGAACCATGAGATCGTGACCTGATCTGAAATCAAGAATCAGATGCTTAACTGACTGAGCCACCCAGGCTCCCCCATTTTTATTAAAGTTTATTTATTTTCAAGAAAGACAGTAAATTTTGCTCTTTTAAAAGACACTATTAAATGAAAGGACAAGTCACATACTGGGAGAACATATTTGCATATGATGTATTTAATAAAGGACTTTGATTTCACTTCCCTAGGGAATTCAAACTAGGAACTTTGGAAATCTTTAAGTCAAATCCTTCACTTTACAAATGAGGTAGCAGACTCCACGAGGTAAGGTGACTTTCTCAGGGCCACATAGCTAATAGTTCGTTTTACCTCCACCTTCACACGGCAGGCAATTGGATAACCTAATGGCTACCATGACCATATGGCCAAGATTTTCTGTCCCAATTTCAAATGTTCTGTACAGTCAGTCGCCAGGCCACATTAGCAATTTCGCTATCCAAAAAGCATTGCAACTTCTACTGCAGATGTGATAAGTGGGGGGTTATGGAAGCAATACACTTATTTCCATTACTGAATTCCACTTTTCAATTCTAAAGCACTGTCTTTTACTTTTTGGGGATAATGGACCCCCTTTAGAAAACCAGTGAAAACTATGGGACCTCTCCACACAAAAACATTTATACAGAAACATAAAATTTTGTTCCAGCAATTTAAATATGCAGTATATGACCATGAAAACCCTTGATCAGATAGTACAAATATTAGCATGTCTGCTATGTGGTCATGGAATACTTTCAAATGGCTCTTAAATCATAACAAAAATTCGCAAATATTTGTATAGCACAACAGTTTACAGAGCACATTTAATCCTCATGACAACCCTGTGAGGTAGGTATTAATATCCCAATTTTACCTATGAGGAAACCGCAACCCAAAGAAATCTGGAGATTTGCCAGAGTTCACATGGATAATAATGGCAGTGCCGGCACTAAAATACAGGCTTTTTGTTCCTTGTTCAAAACATCTTCACATCTAATATTTTCAGTTTTGAAATTGGGGTCCTTCCTGGCTACCCAAGGGGAATTCAATGGCAAGCTGTTTCAACAAGGTTTTTATTTTTTAATTTTTGTAAATGTTTTATTTATTTTTGAGAGAGAGAGAGTGTGTGTGTGTGTGAGCAGGGGAGGGGCAGAGAGAGAGGGAGACACAGAATCCAAAGCAGGCTCCAGGCTCCAAGCTGTCAGCACAGAGCCCGACGTGGGGCTTGAATCCATGAACAGTGAGATCATGACCTGAAGTCGGATGCTTAACCGACTCAGCCACCCAGGGGCCCCTCAACAAGGGTTTTTAAAAAGTAAACAAGCATGAGGGGACCATGAAAGACTACAGATTGTAGCCCATCGCGCATTATTCCCAGGCAAGGATACCATAAAGTATGCCGTTAGAAGTACAGGCCTTTGGGTACAGAAACTAACCACCATTTAAAGGAAAACAAAACAAAACCAGATGCCAGAAGTGGTAAAACACACAGGTTTTGGGGGTTTTGTTTAGTTTTGTTTTTTCAATGTAGTCAATTGTCTGGCCTTTTTCCCAAAAAACAGCTGAAAGTCAGTTGGAAGAAGAGCCAAAATCATCTGAGAAAATGCAATACACACACCAAAAGGGAAATATGAGAGCCAGAAAACAAACTTCCAAACTTTATAAAAGATTAAGACGCTGGGAAATTTGCTCAACAGCCATAGAGAAATACCTCCTATGGGGGAAGCAGGGTGAGAACGCCTAAGCAATCCGTAAGCTAGAAATTTCAGAACCTCCACAAAGTTTCAGGCCATATTCCTGATGATGCAGAACTCCTTTCTTGGCCATCTGCTCAAAGAAGCAAAGATGGGAAAGCTATTGACTTGCCCTTGTTGGTAAGGCTGTAGAGCTGAGCTAGATCAGTGGCAATCAAATGCTGTCCAAGGACTGTGGCAATCTTGTGAAAGCTTTCAATGGCCCATGTCAACTGAGAAAAATATGGCACTGTGGTTTAGTAAAGATATCTACCCAACTTAAAGCACTGGCCGTCATTACTGGACCTTAGTACCCCAAACACTCTTCGAAACATCTGGCCAAATGACAGCACTAAGAGTCAATGCCCTTCACCTGGCTTTGTGTCTATGGGTTGGAGTATCTATCCAGATACTGCCTTAATTCCAGGTTCTTTCAGGCTGTGGCCAGGCAACCTTAAGTCCCTCCTCCAATTAGCTTTAACAGCAGTGAATACTTTCAAAATAAACCATGTAGGAAAGGTCTCCCAGGTCCAGTTAGGACCTACCAATCTGGTGACATCCCAAAACTCTGGAAACTTACAGCTACTCTTCAATGCCTGATTTGCAAAGCAAAACTAGATTTACAACAAACACGACTGCCTCAGGAGACCTACATTCTGGGAACTCTCTGTACCTCGCACCTGTTAAGAATATGGAAGTTTTTAAATCCCTGCACAAAAGCACTTCCCCCCACAGAGGTTCTCTCATCAAAGGGTGAAAACCTAGGAGCTTTTTGTTCTGTTTCTCCCCCAGCCTCAGCGGAGGCCCTTAACCTGCCCTTAAACGTCAGTCGAAGA